CTCTGGTTTGTGGATCAGATGCAGCTTGTGATGGACTCCCCCTCCGGCCACAGCCCCTTCAGTCTCTCTCTCCCTCTCGTCCTCAGCTGGCAACAAAGGGAGGGTCTTCCAAACCCATTTATTGGCAAGGCTGAGGGGAGGGACAGCTTGCAGAATTCTGGGGTCTGGATACCAAATAGTACCAGCCCAAAGTCCCCAAATTAAATGAGAGCCTCATAATATATATATTAGCCAGAGGCCTTGCCACCAAATATTAAGATGCTGCAGAACTCTTTGCTATTTTTGCAGCAGAGCCCTGCACAGTTTCACCTGTGCAAATGAGGCTCTCATTTCCCTCAACCTGCATTGGACTGTCTTTATTTTATGTGACATTTCTAGCCATCTTTCTTCAGTGAAATAGTGGGACTTTGGGCCCCAAATCTATCTCTATCTATCTATCTATCTATCTATCTATCTATCTATCTATCTATCTATCAAAACAATACACAAATACACATTTTGAAAGAAAAAAGTAAAGGAAGAAAAGTAGCAAGTGGAGAAAGAAGTGCAAAGAAAGAAAGAGAGGAGGAAAGGAAAGGGGAGAAAGAGTTGCCTCTGGCTAAAAGCAATGCCTTCAACCCCCATTGGAATGACTGGGCTCAGCAATGGCGGTGTGCGCTGGGTTGTGGCCAAGAGAGCAACACTGACTGGCAATGCCTTGACGGAGGCCGCAGAAAGTCCTACAGACATCCATCTGGCTGCAGATGTGTGGGAAGACTCTGGGCCACTCTGCGCAATCAATCAGACTGAACGGGCAGCCGAGTGGAGCCAAGAGAGGCTGCGGCTGCAGTAATGGGCTGGACCTGAGCGGGTGCCTGGAGGAAGCAACATATGGTACCAAGCAGGGTTTACTAGCCACACATTCAGGGGATAAATATGCCAGTTTGCCCAATATATCAACATGCCACCAGCAAATGCAGACTGGGGGGCTTCCTTCTCCCTACGTTCAAAAGCGTCATAAACAAGCAGCTTTGTGGGAGTCTGCATTCCATGGTAACTGCTTGGAGGGATCCTAAAGACACCCATCTGGTTTCGGGGGATGAGATTTTTTTTAAAAAAGAAGAGCAGGGAGGAAAGAGTTAGATTCCTTCTCCATGCCAGGCCTCATCGGGTTAATTATTCGTAATGAACCAGGCCTTCCTTCACTGATGTAACTGGCATTTTAAAACATGCGCTTCCTTGCTTTTTCATCTTAAACTAAGGATGACAGTGCCTTGGTAATAGGCCAGGCTTACATCCTTCTGGACCAGTGTTTCTCAATCTTGGCAACTTGAAGACCTGTGGAATTCTGGGAGTTGAAGGCCACAGGTCTTCAAGTTGCCAAGGTTGAGAAACACTGCTCTGCACCATTAGCTTGTTGGAAAACTGGCTCCTTCTTGCCCGAGTGTCCTTGAGTTGTTCTGGAGGAACATATGCATGAGTTGGTTTGGTCAACCAACCTTTTGGAACCACTGCAAAAATTCTGCCTTCTGCAAAGCTCACCTGGGACAATCGACCTCTTGAAGATGGGAGAGGTAATCCTAAGGCCCTTGTTTATCCAGGAGGACAACACCACTCAGGGCCGACGGCAGAATTTGAACATGCACCAGCTTGTCAAAACTCAGATGTGCTGGGAATGTGATTGCTGGAGCTTCCAGCCAGCACCAATCCAGGGACTTCTGAAGGGGGTTAGGAGGCAGAAGGGTGCTGGGCACAAGGGAGAAAGGGAGAGAGTAATAATTTTCTGTGAAGGGATGAATTGAGAGATTTGGTGATCACGGCTCATCAGAAGCTGAGAAAGATGGCAAAAAATGCGTTGGAACTCAGTCCTGACTTTCAAAAAGCAAGCATAATTTAAACATGCAGAACAGTTACTGATGTAGAAAAACAAGTACGTGGGCTAGGGAGGAATCCTAAAACTCCCTAATGGACTTTCAGTATATTAAAAATAGAAAGGTGGCCTGTAGCAGGAAACTCTGGTGTTCAAAGTCAAGTTTCTTTGCAATCTCCTCCTTCTCAGGGGCATGAAAAACAAACTTTAGTCATAGAAATATGCTGGGTTAGTCATGTTGTTAAGATATTTATTGACAATTAATTGCCCTCTACATGACAGCCTTTCCAAAGCACAAAGCAATTGAAAACACGGTCTTTAGTGGACGGTTTGTCCAAGGAGATGAGCAAAGGGAAACCAGAGAAAAACAAGAACCACCGCTTAAGTGTTTCCAGATGGTGATTAGGGAACCCACGGTGGGTGGGTCGGTGGCCTTTCCACGTCTCCTCCCGGTTCAGCCTCCTTCAGGGACTCGGCAGTTTTGAGGGAGCTGGTTTTGCTGGAGGAAAAGGTTTCCCGGCTGCTGTTGAACTGGGAGAGGCTCAGCTTGAATAAATGCTGGAGCTTATCCTGGAACTGCCTGCCCACAAAGTAGTACAATAAAGGGTTGATGCAGCTGTTTGCAAAGCCCATGGAGAGCCCGAAGGGCAGGACTGCATCAATCATGGAGGTGAGGTGGCACCTGCTGATCACCTCCATCCAGGAGAGGGCATCCAGGAAGGTGAAGATGTGGAACGGGAGCCAGCAAATCAGGAAGGCCACGACCACGGCAGCCACCAGCCTCAGCACCCGGTCCCTTACCTTCATCCTCTTTGTGAACCCTTGGGCCTTCTTCAAGTGCACCCTGATGCAGATGTAGCACCCAAATATGATGGCCATTGGGACCAGGAAGCCAAGGATGTTTTTCATTAAGGCTGTAACGGCTGACCAGGTGGAGTAATTCTCCGAGGGGTAGGCCATGATACAAGCGTTCACACCCAGCTCGTTGATGTATTGGACATCACGGAAGCAGAAGGTGGGCAGAGAGGTCAAGGTGGCCAGTCCCCAAACAAGGAATGTGGCAATGAATGCCCGTTCCAAAGTTCCTTGCTGGCACTGGAAGGGGCGCACGATGGCCTGGTAACGGTTCACACTCAGGCACATTATGAAAAAGATGCTTGCAAACATGGTCAAGCAAAGGATGGAGCTGGAGAGCTTGCACATTATGGAGCCAAAGACCCAGTTGTACCCGTAGGCATAGCTGGCAGCCCAGAATGGAAGGGTGGTGAGGGCCAGCAAGTCAGCCACTGCTAGGTTGATGATGTAGACATTGGCCACAGTCTTTGGACTCCTCTGCCGACACAGTGCAGTGATGACCATGCTGTTGCCCACAAGTCCAAGGGTGAAGATGATGCAGTAGACCACTGGGATGAGCACAAACTGGTGGCTGGAAAAGTTGATGAGGCAGGCCTCCCTGGTGGAGACATTGGTGGGAGACAGGTCTTGCAGAGTCTGTTCAGTGGTGAGGGTGATGGAGATGTTCCTGAAATGCATCTTGGGGTCAGACAGCAAGAGGTGGCCTGCAGGAAACTCCGAGACATGGAACCTTGGGCTCTGCATTACCAGATCAGGCTGGCGTTGGCTCTTAAAGAAAGAGTGAAAACAGAACAGAAGCATGAATCATGACTCTTCAGCACATTTCTGAGGAACGTTTCATTCTCCCCAACAGACTCATGGAGATGATTCCTTGTCACTGGCTTAATATCAGTTTTGGACTGGCTTTTGGGCCAGCTGGAACATACATGCAATACAGCTGCATCCTGATCTGGATTTTAAGGGGGAAGGAGGATTTGGAGTGCATGGGGGCACTCCTGTCACCCTGCAGCTCCTTAAAGAAGCTGTGTGTTTTCTCATGCTTGTGTGGCACAACTACGCAATCCCAGCAAATGTTGCATTTGACCCTTTGCCTAGACTTCATAAGTTGGTCATGCAACCAATCGTCTGAACAGTCAAAAGCCCTTGTGTATTTGTTAATACACAAGTTGATAATATTTTTGAAGTATTCTCTTTTATACATTTATTTATTTTTATTTATTTATTTAACTTGTTCCCGCCCATCTCCCCACAATGGGGGACTCTGGGAG